TTGGGACACACAGGAAAAGGATGATTATGGCCCTAATAAAGTGATGGCCCTTGCCAAGAAGGCTCCTGTGTCAAAGAAGTCCCCACACTCATTCCTGACCTTTCACCCCCCACCTGCTGTCACGCGGCCAGGCCCTCCCATCACTTGCTCTGCTGAGGATTCCTTTAAAGGTTTTCAGCACACAAGGAAGTCGACTTCAAGAACCCAGGATCAGGGCTGATACTGTGGTGTAGCGGGTAAAGCTGCTGCCTGTGGCCATGGCATCACACATAGGTGCCAGTTCAAGACCCAGCTTGCTTCATTTCTGATCCAGCTCCCTGCTAATGCAGTGGAAGAGCAGTGGAGGATGACCAAAGTGATTGGGCCCCTGCACTCACATCGGAGACCGGGAAGAAGCTCCTGGCTCCTGGCTTCAGATCAGCCCAGCTCCGGTCATTGCAGCCATTTGGGGAGTGAACCAACAGATGGAAGATTCTCTCTCTCTCTCACTTTGATTTCAAATAAAATAAAAATATATTTTAAAAAAAGGATTAATTCTCACATAAGGAGAGAAACAGGTACAAACAGGAGCAAGCCATTCAAAGACCTTTGAGAAAAGAAGACCTCTGAGCTCTGTGACACAGTTGAGCAGAAAGAGTGGAAGTGGGACTCCGCAGATCAGCAGAGTGTGCAGAAGAGATTGGTCCTTGGCCGGTGCCGTAGCTCACTAGGCTAATCCTCCGCCTGCGGCACTGGCACCCCAGGTTCTAGTCCCGGTCAGGGCGCCAGATTCTGTCCCGGTTGCTCCTCTTCCAGTCCAGCTCTCTGCTGTGGCCCGGGAGGACAGTGGAGGATGGCCCAAGTGCTTGGGCCCTGCACTCTATGGGAGACCAGGAGAAACACCTGGCTCCTGGCTTCGGATCAGCGCGGTGTGCCGGCGGCAGCGGCCATTGGAGGGTGAACCAATGGCAAAAAGGAAGACCTTTCTCTCTGTCTCTCTCTCACTGTCTAACTCTGCCTGTCAAAAAGAAGAGAAAAAAAAAGAGAGAAAAACCGAGGAGAGGACGAGAGATTGGTCCTGGGAGTAGGAGGAAGGGATTTAACTTAGACCCTGGGAAGAGAGGGGATAAGGGCCCAGAACCAAGGAACAGTATGTGTATGGTGGGGAAAGAGGAAGAATGAAAATAACCATTCACCATAGCCTGCAGACTCCCTTAAAAATCAGCTCTATGATAAGTCATAAAGCTAGTGATACAATATTTGAGACAGCAGGTTCTGTAAAACAATGACATCAATTCGGAATCTCTGCCTTAGGTCTCCCCACGAAAAGTAGGTTACATGGACACCCCCCCCCCAAGGAAACCAAGATGCAACCTCAGAAACCACACTGGGTCCCAAGGGCCGGAGTCCCACAGGTAGGAGGCTGCAAACAACCCCCACGTTATCCTGTGTACTGGCTTGGGTTCTGTCTGCCACCTCCTGGGCAGATAAGGCTATTACCTATCTCTAAAGCCAGGGAGGTCCAGGCACCACACAGGCTGTGGCCTCTGTTACAGCCAGCCCCAGGGAACCACTCGGAAGCAGAAATTTAGATGAGGAGCGGGTGGAGGGTCCACTTCTTCAACACCGCGTCTAAGCAAGGTGAGTTTTAGTATGGAAAGAGATCCCAGACATCTCACTAAGCCACAAAAGTACTTGCATAGCAGCATAAAGAAGACAGTATTTTACATCACAGTCAAAGGCTTAATGCTCCACTAATTAAACCGTTCGACAGGGGCTGGCACTGTGGCATAATGGATAAAGCCACCACCCGCAGTCTGGTATCCCACATAGGCACCTGTTGGAGTCCCAGCTGCTCCTCTTACGATCTAGCTCTCTGCTATGGCCTGGGAAAGCAGCAGAAGGTGGTCCAAGTCCTTGGGCCCCTGCACCCATGTAGGAGACCCAGAAGAAGCTCCTGGGCCATTTGGGGAGTGAACCAGAGGATGGAAGACCTCTCTCTCCCTCTGCCCCTCTGTACCTCTTTGAAAGAGAGAGAGAGAGAGAGAGAGAGAGAGAGAGAGAGAAGAAAAGGAAATTGAGGGAGTATTTGATGATCACTTAGGGTGTTGGGTAATTTGCCCAGTACTCGTATTAACAGGAGTAGGACTAGAACCTGGATCCATAGGGCTCTGGAGTCAGAATTCTCAGCCTTCTCAAGGACAGCAGGAATGTGAGCACACACATACACACACACACACGTGGGCTGTGTGGGCTATGCAAGTGTCAACCATGGTTACTTAGGGAATTAAGAGGAGGGAAGGCAGGTTAACTGTCCTTTGCCACTTTATGTCATTGTATATGGCTTACATTTTTCCAGTGAACATATATTATATCACACTATAATATATAAAGGCATGTTATAAGTTGATTTTGCTCCGCTAAACATATATATAGAAGAAAAACCGAAATTACTCTACCATTCAGAGTCCTGTGCTTGCGGAGCAAATACCGTGTCCACACCGATTGCTAGGTACTTCACACCAAAGACTGTACCGAATCCTCACCACTGTGTGAAGACAGCTGGTGGCATTATGAACTCCCTCTACAGAGGCGGAATCAGAGACTCAGAGATGTGAATTGACCTCTCCAAGATCATAAAATTCAAGTGACTCCACTCAGATTTGACTAGGTTCCGAGCCCATGCTTTTACCGACAGTGGGCAGAATTGATTATGGTAACAGTAGCAGCCCAAGCACTGCCCATGTGTCAGACCTGTGATTTTTGTGCTTATTATCATCAAATCTCCATGGTAATCCCCATTTTACAGATCAAGAAACTGAGGTTCAGCTGAAAGAGGAAGCCATTTGTTTGCCGTGGTCACCCAGCCGGACTGGGACTAGAACCCAAGTCACCATGCACAGCACTTGTATCCAGCCAGTTGCTCAGACCAAAAACTCAGTAGTCCTTGACTCATTCCTCTCTTTGACTAAGTCTAATCCTTTGGCTTCAGTCGGCTAAGGTTTCCAAAATACGTGTTGGCTTTTTGCTATCTGGCTACTGAAGTCCCAGCGGATGCCACTGTCATCGCCCTACTGGGCCCCTATGAAGGACCCTTCCTTGATCTCCCACCCCCATCCCTGCTTTTGTCCCTACCCCATCCACGTATTACACTGCAGAGTGATCACTTTCAAATCTCTCTCTTTTTAAAAAATATTCATTTATTCATTTGAAAGGCAGAGTTACAGAGAGGCAGAGGTAGAAAGAGAGAGAGAGGTCTTCCACCTGCTGGTTCACTCCCCAAATGGCTGCAATGGCCAGAGCTGCACTGATCCGAAGCCAGGAGCCAGGAGCTTCTTCCGGGTCTCCCACGTGGGTGCAGCGGCCCAAGCACTTGGGCCATCTTCTACTGTTTTCCCAGGCCATAGCAGAGAGCTGGATCAGAAGTGGAGCAGCCAGGACTTGAACCAGTGCCATATGGGATGCCAGCACTGCAGGCGGAGGTTTTACCAGCTACACCACAGCACCAGCCCTAAATCTCTTGCTAAATATTCTCTTATGCAGCTTCTCTCAAGGTCTTGAGAGAGAATTAAGCCTTGCAGACTATGGTTTGAATGAGTATTTTTTCACTTTTCCAAAAGATAATACTAGCTAATACCATTCATTATTTAATACAATAAGTGATAACCTAATTTCTTTCATGCAATGCATGTTTTAGGGTCTTGGGTGGAGACAGCTTCAAAACCAGTGACCCTGGCCTATGGAGCCTCCTGGGACTGCTGTTCACACCTCCAGCTCAGGGGCTCATTTCTTAAGCATGTCTCCTTTTCTGCAAGGATAGACGCCTATTCCTGCCTCGGGGCTCTTGTGGCCTGTGTTCCCTTGGCTTGGAACCTCTGCTGCAGGCTGTCGGGCGCCAGCTCCTTTCGTAGGTGATTCCCTGACACCTTCACTAAAGAGGCGCCGCCAATCCCTGATTGCACTGCCTGTTTCGTTTCTCCTACAGCGTCTACTTATCGTCACCTGAAAACGCCTTCTTTCCATGTTCACTGACCTGCTGTGTGCTCCCCACTTACAGCCGAATTCCAAACGGCAGAAAGATTTTTTTAAAATATTTATTTATTATTTGAAAGGCACAGCTACAAAGAAGAGAGAGAAAGACAATCTTTCATCTGCTGGCTCACTCCACACTGGGCAGCAACGGCTAGAGTTGGGCTGATGATCTGGAGCCACGAGCGTCTTCCGGGTCTCCCACGTGAGTACGGGGGCGTAAGTACTTGGGCCATCCTCTGCTGCTTTCCCAGGCACAGTAGCAGGGAGCTGGATGGGAAGTGGAGCAGCCAGGACTCGAACCAGGGCCCATAGAGGATGTCGGCGCCACATGTGGCAGCTTTACCCTCTACACCACAGCGCCAGCCCCAGGTGGAAGGACTTTTATAGGGAAGCACTCTGTTAGATGTGTTTAAAGAACTCAGACATTTCTTATGTGCCAGTCACGGGGGAAAGAGCTTTGCAATGTACCCTTTTATCAACCCCAGTGCTATCTGACGGAAATATAACGTAAGCCATTTTTAGTTGTTAGTTCTCCGATAGCCACGTTAAAAGAGGTGAAAAACAGGTGAAAAAAATAGGAATAGTTTATTTAGCACAATCTGTTCCAAGTATTATCTCAACACGTAATTGTCTGGTCAAGAGCTATTTTACATCGTGTGTGTGTGTGTGTGTGTGTGTGCGCGCGCGCACGCGTGTGCGTGTCTGGGTTCTGAGTTTAGGTGCCGCCTCATGTCTGGGGATTTGCACATTTGCATACTTTGTGTCTCAACTCTCCCGCCTTTTCTGAACCCGTTTCGGTGTGCATGCGCCCCTCAGGGGCCTGTGAGAAAGGGCTGAGGCCCTCAAGAGAGGCCTCCAGCCACCTTCCAGTGCAGGTGCTCAACAAAACAGGTGTCACAAAGACCCGGGTGTGACAAACAACCCGCGGTCCAGAGGGAAGCCCCAGGCCAACCCAGGGCGCATGCGCAAGGCGACCCCTAACGGAAAGACCGGAAGTCCCGGAGCCGCCGCTGGGAGCCGCTGCGACCCGGTGAGGAAATGGCGATGGTCCAAGATGATGAAGCCCAGGGTCCCGCCCAGGCCGTGGAGCCAGGGGAGCTGGAGCAGTTAGTGTTGGAGGTGGAGGCCATGCTGGAGCTGAAAATTGACTTTCCCACGGACGAGCATGGTAAGAAATGTGTGTGGGGCTGGGTCTTTGGCGGGCGTGGGTTGGACTGTGCTGCTCTGAGAGGCCATGAGCTCTTGGGAGGCGCCCTCCGTGAGCGCCGAGAGATGCATGGATGCCCACGCAGAATGTGGTGCCGAACACCGAGCCGTGTTGCCAGTGTTCACATCGAATCAGCTACTCAGAAACGTGCCCAGGCCGATCGGTGGTGCGGGCGATTTGATCCTGAAGACATACTGAGACGGGTTTTCAGCTCTGAGACTCCCTGAGGCGCGCAAAGTGAGCCCTCCTCGGCCACCCCTGGGGAGGGGGAGCCCCGGATGTCCTGTTGCGGGGTGTAAGGAGGTCTGTGCTGGGGAGGGTCCTCCATCACTGGTCACCCGTGCTGGAGGGACGGCCACGCCCTGGCCCTGCCGCTGCCTGGGACTTGGCTCTGGGGAGGAGGCCTGGCCCAGCGAGGGAGGGGTTCGGGCTCTGGGGAAAGGTAAAGCAGTGTGAGATGGGAAGGGCGTTAGGGTGGGCAGTCAGGTTGGGGAGGTCAGGCTGAGGAGGTGTCTCGCACCCCAGGCTGGAAGGAAGTGACGGAGCGAGCCAAGGAAGCCCTGAGCTGAGGACTCTCAGGGAGGCTGGGCGAGGGCAGCGACGTGGGCGGGCATACGTGAGGTCCCTGGCCAAGTCCATGAGTTTGACTCTGGAAGTCCTGGGGCATCATGGGAGGGCTGATTTAACCTGAATGGGACTTTCAGAGATCTTGGAAAGTGACTGCGAGTCCCAAGGGGGAAGGGGAGTCTGACAGGAGGACAGACATGGAAGCAGCCACTTGTCATAGGGGTGCTGAGGGACCTTATCTCAGGCCACCAGCCTTGGAGGGGAGCTCAGGTTCACCGTGGGGAGCGCGCGGGGTCTGTTGGTGGGGGAGGCTTGAGGGCGTTTTGTTTGTTTGGATTCGTTGTGGGGTTACGTGTGGAGCACCCAGGAATGTTGGTGTAGGTTTATCTGTTGGGTGTCAGGACATGCAGTGGGAGGCCTTAATGGGAGACTAGTCATCAAGAGTGACGGGCTGTGATCACTTCTCAGAAGCGACCAAGGACCCTCCCAGTAACCAGGCTCTCCGGGGTCTGGGTTGAGGCAGCGTGATGAGCACGTGTCAGCCACCAGAATTCCAGGCTTGGCCTTGGCAGTTGAATGGCTTTGGGCAATTTGAATTTAAGGGGTTTTTATTGTCATTGCTTTAAAATATTATATATATATAATACATGTATATTATATATATAATGTTTCAGATAAAAATATAAGAAACCATATTAGCAAAAGTCTTCCGCACACACTGGCCTGCTTTAATCCAGCTGGATGTTTTGGTCTGTTTGCGTCTGATTTGTTTTAAGAAATCAAATATGGCAGACGGGGCTGCAACCCTGCTTGTGTCTTTCTTGATCCTGTTTTCTCCCCTCCTCCGAAGTGGCATAATCCTCAGGAGAGCAGAGATCTTTCCCATCCGTGGTTTTATGTTTTCCCCACGAACACACAGTATCACTTTGCATGTTTTTAAGCTTTGTGACCGTCGATTTGCAACTGGGTGTTTTTCATTTAGCGTTATGTTTTTGGGACGCCGCCAAAGAACACATATAGTGCTCTCATTTTTACTACTGGGTACCCAGCATCCCTATTTTATTTACCCGTCCTTTTATTGATGGATGTTTAGGTGGTTTCCACTTGCAGCTACTGCGAGCATTGTTTCTTTGGAAATCCTTACACCTGCCTGTTCGCATCTGCACAGTGTAGACGCTCAGTACCTGGGAGTTCTGTATGTCCTGTGGACAGGAAGTTAAAATGTGTACCTAAAAATTCTGTGGCATTGAAGGCCAACAGAACCTGGCCCTGCCCCTTCCTCTCTGGGTGCCCTTGGGAAAGTCACCGCGCCTTTCTAGCCCTGTTAAAGAAAAGGAACTGAATGCAGTTGTGAATGTTAGTTCTCGAAGCATGACTCTCCCTGGGTTGTGATTGGACTGGACTGAGCCGAGAACATGACACCTGCTGTGTGCTAGTGTGAATAAAACCAGGCTAGCACTTATTAAGGGTTTCGGAAATATTGGTCTAATTCCCATCTAAGGAGGGATGAAACCAAGCCCCTAACAGAGTGGCCGCCCAAAGATCACTTAGCTAGCGAAGTGGTAGGGACAGAGTTTGAAACCAGTTCTATCTGGTTGTAAAACTGTGTCCTAATAATTAAGTTAGCTGCCTTTAATGCCTTCGGCAGTTGCACACCATCCCCAGCAGTGGTTTCCAGACTTTTCTAAGGAACGGAAGCATTTTTTTCAAACAAAGTCTTAAATGAAATGCTAGACCACAAGGCAAATGGAAGCAGACCTAGTCCGGTTGCAGAGCAGGCAACGTCACAGGCGCAGTGTTCACCCTGGCTCTGCTAGGTACTCGCTGTGGGAGCTTGGGCAGATTACGTCATCTCTCTGGATTTGAGTTTCTTCATTTGTACGATGGGGGTAGTGCTGCCAGCCCAACAGGGTGGTTATTTGGATCAACTGAGATAATGTACGTGCAGTACTTGGCATAAAGCCTGCCATGTGGTAAGAGCGGCGTTTGCGGCAATTTGGCTGGGATTGTTACCACCTTCAGGACTCTTCACTGACCGCAGGATTGAGTGACAATTTCTCAGCCTCACATTCACGGCCTGCCATCATCTCGCCCAACCTGCGTTTCCAGCCTTCACCACCTACGCCGTGGCCACGTTGAATTACAGCATTCCCAATCCAGTAGCACCCTGCACTGCCAGTTCTGTTCGTGCTCTCCCTCCCACCTCTCCCTGCTACAAAAGTCTGCTTTAAATGTTTTTAAAGATGTATTTATTTTATCTGAAAGGCAGAGTTAGAGAGAGAGGCAGAGACAGAGTGACAGAGAGATTGTCCATCCACTGGTTCACTCCCCAAATGGCCACAACGGCCGGAGCTGGGCCAGTCGGAAGCCAGGAGCCAGGAGCTTCTTCTGAGTCTCCCACGTGGGTGCAGGGGCCCAAGCACGTGGGCCATCTTCTACTGCTTTCCCAGGCGCATCAGCAAGGAGCTGGATCAGAAGTGGAGCAGCCAGGACTCAAACTGGAGCCCATATGGGATGCTGACACCATAGGCAGAGGCTTTACCTTCTGTGCCACAGTGCTGGCCTCAATTCTGCTTTAAATTTATTTTAAAAATCTTTTAAAAAACCTTTATTAGAGAAACCTTTAAAATATACAAAAGTAAAAAGCTAGTATAATGAACCCTCATGTCTCAATTAGCTTTAGTAACTACCCAACTCACCTCCTATCCTGCTCATTCTACTAGGTTATTTTGAAGCAAAATCCAGTTTACCATTTCATCTGTAAATTCATCAGTGTGCATCTCTAAGGTAGACTCTTATTTATTTTAATTTTGATGTAGTTATTTGAGAGACAGAGAGAACTCCCATCCATTGCTTCACTCTCCAAATGCCCACAACATCTGGGGCTGAAGCCAGGAGCTAACAGGAGCAGGTGCTACAATCCCTCTTTTCCCCAAGGGTGGCAGGAATCCAGCCATCACTGCTGCCTCCCAGGGTCTGCTTGGCGAGAAGCTGGAGTCGGGAGCCAGAGCCGGGATCAAACCCAGGTACTCTGATGTGGCATGCATGCATCTTAATCACTCAAAACAACCTTTCCGAGAAATTTTATTTTATTTTATTTTCCAAGAAATTTTTGAAATATAACCACAACAACAACTAAAAGACTTTAATAATTTCTTAATATCTGTCAGTGTTCAAATTTCCTTCATCATCCCACCAATCTTTTTCTTTCCCAGTTGCTTTGTTCAAATAAACATGCAGACAGGCTAGATATAGATACAGATATAGCTACACGCAGACACAGATGGTATTTAAGTGATATGCCCCTTCAATTGGTTTTTATCTGTAAGTTTCTTGTCCATTTCTCTTTTTCTCTTCCTGAGAATCTTTCTGATGAAGAAACATGGTTGTCAGATCTCGATCTCTAGAATTTCTCACAGGAAACGCTGAGCGGGTTTCGTCGCAGCTTCCCTATGGAGTTTTGCAGTACCCTTTGTGCCTTTTTGTCCTGCAGATTGGTAGTTCCATCGAGGTTCCGAAGGCATCCTCAGCCTCTGCTTTGACTCTGGGCAGGTGGTACTCTGCTTTCTGTGCGTCCCATCTGCAGAGGTGTGGCTCCTCTTCTCTCTCCCAGTGTCGCACAGGCCACCCGTGGGTTTGTGAGTTGTCAGCCATGAAGCAGAGATCTTGGCATTCAAATTAAGCAGAGGGTGGCCTTTGGACACTTCTTGGCCCACCTGCAGAGCCATGACTCTTACGGCAGCGTTTGGACCGGATCCTGCAGCTGATGACTCCATCTCTCCCTGGAACCCAAATTAAATACAACTTTTAACGACGTTGGTGCTTTAGACATTTTAGAACTTTGAGGTGGACATGACTCAAGGTAAATACTTTTGAGCTGCTTGGGGCGTTAGCCAGTGAGACTTTTTTTTTTTTTTTTTTTTTTGACAGGCAGAGTGGACAGTGAGAGAGAGAGACAGAGAGAAAGGTCTTCCTTTGCCGTTGGTTCACCCTCCAATGGCCGCCGCGGCCAGCGCGCTGCAGCCGGCACACAGCACTGATCCGATGGCAGGAGCCAGGAGCCAGGTGCTTTTCCTGGTCTCCCGTGGGGTACAGGGCCCAAGCACTTGGTCCATCCTCCACTGCACTCCCTGGCCACAGCAGAGAGCTGGCCTGGAAGAGGGGCAACCGGGACAGAATCCAGCCCCCCGACCGGGACTAGAACCTGGTGTGCCGGCGCCGCTAGGTGGAGGATTAGCCTAGTGAGCCACGGCGCCGGCAGCCAGTGAGACTTTTCTATCTAAAAGCAGGGCCTGAGTTCCTCCTGTGAAGTTGCCCCCACCATCACCGGTTATACCAAGGAAAAGAGACAGCTTGTCACTGGAGGCTCAAGCCTGCATGGAAGACATCTTACT